GCTACAAAGATAATGGATTACATACCTATGTAACTTAAAATTTTGTTTGGAAATAATTAGTTTTTAATCTTTGGCGTAATGAATCACATATTTTCATTGCGATTAAATCTCTGATGCGACGACAACTATAGGGGATTCGATTCGTCCTGTCTTGTCCGGATAATCGAATATTCGGATAATTGATGTTCGAATAATCGAGACTCTACTCTATTATTACTTTTTGTCTCTCGCCAATCAAATTATCCCAGTATAAAGAACGAAGTCGTAGTTAAAAAATAGTGATATAATATTACTAAAGATATTGTTTATATTTATGAAAAAAGTAGTGTGTTTCTTCTGTTGAGAAGGTATACAGTTAAAAGAATATATGTCTTAGTCTTTTTTTATAGGAAGATAATGGAATGGTAACCTCGCCTGCACTATCGGTATACGCTGGAGAGGCCTCAGTGAGGGATAATAGGTGAAGGTGAAAGCAGATTAGCTAGCCCATTGTAAAGAATTCTACAAGAATTAATCAGAATTGTTTCCAGAGGTAACCGCATGGAGGCCGACCTGACGGGATATATTGCCCATTAATAATAATCCTATTCTTTCCCTATATGCCTTATTGAATCACAAACATAGTTAATCAGGTAGTAATATGGTGGGTAGATTAAAGTATCTATGATTTATCGTATGTAACCAATAATCGTGTTTCATAGAACTTAGATATATTGTGATATATGTATAGACAGATAACTAGATATAAAGTACGTATCTATATAATATTAATATTTATCGAAGTTAGGTATTCTTATTTTCATTTTGATAAATTATTTTTTTAATTTCAATTCATATTTTTAACTGATTTATTTACAAAATATTAAAAATACGTGTGCTTAATAATATCTATTTTCAGCCAATAAATAAAAACAAAATGCTTTATCTCACAGTCCTTATAATAATTAATTCGAATAACTACTCGGCTATTTACTATGTAATTTTCATATAATAAAATGTTGCAATGAAAATTCAGGCAAGCGAGATTAGACCGATAGTCCGATAACGACAATCGGACGATGACCCCGCCGTGTTGGTCATTCATAAACTTTGGTTCACATGCGTCAGTTTTATGAATGTCTGTACACAACAAATATATAAAACATCAGGTACATACTTTTTTAAAAGATTTAGTTCCTTAGGAAAAACAATAGATTCTTTACTGTCTGAATTCCAAAACTAGATATTCTAACAAATGGATGATTATTATTGTCATTTAATTGTTAGTAATGGGGATTAAAGGTGCATTACTATACTATAATATACCTTACTAAGTTGAGGTCCACGGGACCCTCTGAAAACCATTATGGTTTTACTCATGAATAAATTACACTGGCACAACTGACCAGACTTTATTCTCATTTATATTTAATCTATAAAAAAATCACTCATATATGAGAAAATTATGCTCGAGTAATCCGTCAATTCGATACAGTTTTCCTTTAATCTAATTAAAATAGTCTCACATTTATTACGATAATTTATCAGCAAACAGGCTCCTCGCACGTTGAAATAGTTGTACAATTGTTCAACGTGCTATGTGAATAGGAACGACAAATAAACATGGCGTCTTTGATTGCATACCTGTCATTTGTTGGTCAATAAGATAATTAATTTAGTTAATTACCATCCATATATATCAACTGTGTTATGTTGTTGTTGATTGTTCTTGTTTATAGCCTTCTATATTGTAAGGCTAGGCCGTGTGGTCCCGACATCAAATAGGCTACCACTTCCTTCTCCATTGGTATTGTAAAAGGCGACTCAGGATACTTAATAGTCGAGGGATGAGCGGCGTCCCTCTTCAAACATGACCAAAAGCCTGACTGCGGTTGCCTACCTGATTGCTAAACGTGGCATCTACTGGCAAAACTCCTTTTATCCCCATAAGGGCAGTAGAGGGAAGCCTATGTTCAGCACTGAACAATTAACGGCTGATATGATGATACTATTATTTATTTATTTATATTTTTGCATACGTTAAAATATGCATAAAATATACGGTAAAATATACGTTAAAATATCTACAGGGCGGAATTAATGCCTGATGCCTGTTAACCGTTACGCTAAACAGAGAGAGAGAGTAAACGCTACTAATAAATATGAAATTTATAAAGATGTTTGTTCATCAACACTTGATATATGGAATGTAGACGGATTATTCGTAAATTAACATATTATTTACTTTATATGGATATTTTATATTATTTAAATTTACTCGAGCGAAGTCGTGCGATACAGTCAATAATTAATTATTAGGTAATTTATTAATAATTAATTATAAATTATTAATAATTAATTATTAGGTAAAAAATATATTTTTTTATTCTTACTTTTAATTTTTTATTACTTTTAAGAACATCGAATATAATATTAACACAGTATACTCTTTTTGTTTGTTTTCTTGTTTATTACTATTATTTTCTTGGGATGATAATATTAAGGTATTAAAATAACATGATAATATGTATCTCTCATACTCATAACTTCTTACTGTAAGTGTTGGCATTACAAATTTTTAGCATATGCACCGCCTCCAAGAGCAAAGAATTGCACAGCTATAAATTTATCGAGGAATGTCAAACAAAAGTGAAATTTCATGTGTCGGCTTCTCTTCAAAGAGAAACGTTTGCCGTGGCGACTCGAGATTATGTTGTCTTTACAAAATTAGCCTTCGTCTATTACATAGTTGGGCAATGTTTACGTACTAAGTTAGTTTCGAAAGAAATTTAGACCCTGTTTACGTAATGCAACCATGGGATATGGGAATATTAATGAATTGACGCTTGTTTGGTCATTTTGTTTAAGGCTTTTTTTTTGTTTACTTAGACTAGACTAGTAAAGCAGATTATTAAATGTATAAGATTATAGCAAGATTTATGTATAAATTCATGAAGATATGGATGAATTTTTAATATATCTATATAGTTTGTTTAACAATCTAACTGATATTAAAATATAGTGTACTTACAAATTTTTTAATAATAAAATATTTATAAATGTAAAAGTTTATTTATTTAGATATTAATGTATTTGGATATTCAGATGTTTGTTTCTCTACCAAATTTACTAAATAGACATCTGAGTCCTCAGAAATGGCAACGCATGGGGGGTATTATGGGCGAAACAGTATACTCTGTTATATCCATGTTACTGCTCATGTCTACAGGCAACTTTCCATCAGATGAGTCGTCAGCTCGTTTACCATTCTAGGTTGCATGAAAAAAAAAAAGTTACTGCACCCTACAAATAGGGTTCCTGTTATAATTAATACATACATAAGATCATAAGTATAAAATAAGTAGAAAAGAAATGTGAATATCTTATCTTTCTTCATTATTTCTTTCAAATATAGCGAACCTATATATAACAAAATACGGTACCTATTTATTTAATGAGTGGCCCATCGTGATCAATGCATCTGCACGATGATTTTCAGAGGGGACCACGTGGAGGTCGAACTGACAGTGCATATTGCTAGCATAGGGACTGGTAGTCTGCATTACTAACTATACCTTCCCCCCATATGATATCTTCTACTACCAATGTAATTTTTATACTAGTAAAAAATATAGGTATAAAAATAATCTTGTCAGTGAACGGTCATATCGGCTATTATGGTTTTTATCCTATCACTTTCTCGCACTCTCACTCACTTATCATCAAAATTATAACGAATTTATGTTCTCTATATTCTATGCTTGGGTATCGAAGTATTTTTATTTCTTTTAATGTTAATTGAAATGACATGGGTGGTGTCACGGACCGTGTTAAGTACTTACCTTTATATTAATTCTTTTTTTTATTAAAGTCCCATAGATTTTGAACGTCGAATTCCATTTGACATGAACTTTCCTCTTTATATCTTTAATCGATAGAGTAGGCTTACATGCCGATTAAAACTGGAATATTATCTTTTGGTTATAACGTGTTGATATCTGGTTTGAGCTAATATTAACTTACTAACTTCACGCACAACTCCTTAAAGGATAGGTAATAATAACATCGTATTAGAGGCATTTTATGTTCTTTTTTATTATATTATTTTAGTTTTAACTTTTAAAAGTATAATATTAAATACCTATTGTAATCAATATACCTTTTATAATATAATCGACTTTGTAATCGATTTTATATGAATAGTTTAAAAATTATTTCCACGCTGCGACACAATTTTCTTTACGAAAAATCTTATTTCATAAATATTTTGGGTTCTGGATGGTTAAATCTTACATATAACTTTTCTATAATCCCTTGTATAGAAATTAGAATAATATATCGATAAGATCAATTTAAAATCGATAAAATCATATGAATCGAATTAAATAATGCTTGTTTATATCCCGGACTAATATTGTAAATGGCGTTCCGGAAATTCCAGCATCATGTAAACCATTCCTGTCTTAAGTATAGAATATCTAACCTCTAGCAATAAGTTAATATTTATCACCTTTTTATTTTTGAACTTTATTAGTGTTCAAATATCATTAACGATTATTTTGTCGCATTCGATATACCTGTCTCTCTTTAACATATTAGTAATTGAATTTATTATTCGGTGGAATCAAGCGGTGTGATTCAAACGGGAAAAATATGCACCCCGGGTGTAGGAATTACCATAAGCGGGAGTAATGATTAGAAATTCCTTAGATATTTACTTTCTATTTAACAATTTGTGCGCTTATGAGTTAATTAATTCATAATGTCCCAGGAGGCCGAGAAAGTTGGATGTTGATTCTGTTTATTTCTTATACGCACAGTTTATGCTCTTCTCAATAATTGTTAACTAATATAGCTAGTATATTATATAAAATTTGTAATTAATTTGTCATTTATATACAAATTTTTAAAATCCCTCTCATGTATTTCAGCAGTAAGATCCAGTCGAGAAGAATTGGCCAGTTCTATTATTGTTACATAATGAGACAATAGTTTTAAATTAGTATTTTGTATTGTTGCAGCGAATCTCACCATCAGTACCCGTGGCTTCAGCCTAGAACTGCTCATCCACTCCCCTATTCAGGACATGTACCTATGCTTCAATCGGTCCAAGTTAGTCGGCAGGCGATTGGTGAGTAGATATAACAGTATATAACTATAAAGAAACATTAAGACTGTCTACTCTTGAAACTACACGCTTATCTATGCCGATTATTTTAAAAAGAGTTAATTATTTTCTTATGTTTTTAAGTTATACCCTTATAATCCGTTCTTATCTAAAATAAAATGTATTTTCTAAAATTTTACTCATTCTATATTTGTAGATTATAAACTGTTCAAAGCAATATATGATATATTACATTTTTAAACAAACATGCCATAATAATTTTATATAATATTGTTCACAGACAAGATTTCAAGCGGAGAGACAACCGAATTGTTTATTCAAAGAGGAATTTGTGAACGGCTACAACAGATATCACCTGATGAAGAACGAAGATCGCTATATAGGATTCAACAGGCGAGGCTTGCAGTTACGTCGAGGAAAGAGCCGCCTTCCAGAGCGTGTGCACAAGTGCTTGGACTTCATGAAGGTGGCCCGTGGTGATGACTTCAACTTGGACAGGCACAATAACATGCTTGCAGGAGACTTACCGAAATGGCGGCCGCAGCGCAGACTCCGGCCCCCACCGCAGAACTCCATCAAGCCACCGTGTCACGGCGTCCGCCACCACCACGGAAGGTATCAGAGGCGAAAAAATTGCGACGGAACATAGGTGCCCCGTCGTTTCATCACCAGCTCATTTACGCTTCTACGCTTCGCGCGTTCCGTTGCCAGCTGTAGATGGACATTGTGAGTGGACAGAGTATTAGTCAACTATCGCAGTATTATTACAGTGACGAGGACTGGATAGCGTTAGGTTAGGTGAGCCGCGGTGGCCGCGGCGTCGGCCCGCATGAATGGTAGCTGATGCGAGAGAGCAAACATTTGAATGGGAGAAAAAGCCGAGCCGGAACGACCGACGTTCGGACCTGTGAAATTCCTTAAGCTCGTGTAACATCGTGGCGCTCGTTTGCTCTTGTGCCTACGGTCGGACTCGTGTTCTAAAAGGAAAAAAAGGTTTTCTGTAGAAAGAGCAAATAGTAGTCTCGTCAGTCACGAGTCTTCCGACAGACCACCGCAGTTGGTGCGTGGAAGTGATGCCGGTACTGATATCGGTACCAGCCCTCAAGCAAAGACACCATCTCGACTGCGCGCACAGCGCATTGTGACTTCATATTACCCACGATTGTTCCGGATGGCTCGCCATAAGTGTAGCAAAAAGGCCTTTGCGTCAATTCTCAGTGTGTTATTATTTAAAACGCTTTACTGTTAAATTAAGAACCGATCGTGTTACGCTTGTAAATATAATAAAATAATTGTGTTTACTTATTTATCAAAAAAACGTTAATCAGAAATTTATAAACGTAGATGTTAGTTGTAAAGTTGTATTAAAATGTTTTGTATTTAATTATGGGTATTTAATCTATCCTACCAACCGCTCTCTTGTGATTAGCCACAGTTGATATAACCTAGATTTCTTTAACTTCATATAATGAAACATTTCCTACTAACGTTCATAATGTGAATATTGTTCTGTTTTGATTGCATGGTTTCACGAGTTTCTGTATATATTATTTTAAGAGTTCGACAGGGAGCGATAGATTTTTGAATCTCTCTATGTTTTTGAATCAGTACTGACTGGTATTCTCGATTTTTCATAAAGGGACCCAATACTTTGTCGCCTAATTTTCCTAGATAACAATACAATGTGGTGATTCAATTTTACTAATATCCATTCCAGCAATCCTATTAAATAGTGGAACTTATACCTAATGTTAACATATTAAGATCTGTGCCATAGTGTGGTGGCAGTGTACGACTTTGCGTTGGCAATGTAGTGTTTTAAGTTTGTCTGTAAACTATGAGTAGATAAAAGATATATAACATAAGGAAATATAATAACTGAATTAAATTATTGTACGCTTTTCATGTCGGGATAAAAATAGTATATAAAACGTTTAAAATCGAAATATTCTAGAAATTACCATCATTATTTAATTTACTTTAAAAAAAATTCAGTGACATTGTTTTCTTATTATAAAGTAACTATTGATATCTCGATATGGAAATTATGAAAAAACCAATCAAACATTAGTAAAATGTGTTACTGTATTCTGTATGCCATATAGATATACAATTGTATTAAGAGCGAAGGTTATTAAAATATTTTTCTCCATAGTTTCATATTTGAATGCATTCGGTTGCCTGTATGAATGATTTATATTATCGAATAAATTTTACTGGTATACTTTGTCAGTGTTAAAGTCATATTACATTCCTCCTGTATTCCATATAATTACATTTGAAGACGTTATGACATTCCAAACAACAAGTTAAACAAAATAAATATGCGCTTAAATAAATAATGAATTTTGTTGAATAGTATGACACTATACTGTATTACTGTGTCTAATTATAAGTATTCAGACGCTGAACGAAATCGTGTAATTGCTAAGAAAAATTACGAAATTAAATATTTAACTCGCAATTTGTGTTTTTTTTTTCTTTAACAATTCTTCATAATTGTATGCAACTCAGAATGGCAATAAAGTGAAAGAAACAAACCGACGGTTTACATAATGAAAAGTCGCCTACAAACATGAACAGTATTATACCATCCGGAACATAAGAGTTTGATAATTATTCTAAGATTTATTTATTTATTCATTAGTACAAATATGTGTACATGGCGGACTTAATGCTAAAAGCATTCTCTCCCAGTTAATCATAGGAATTTAGATTATTATTTTATTTTGCTATGTTCATGATTTATTAGAGTTTTTACTATATAGCAAAAAGGACAATCATTTTTTTATTAATTACAAAAATAGAAAAACTAGTGTACTAGGGCACTTCTAAATGGCGTATCAAGATGAAACTTGCGCTAGATTTTAAGTTACACAACACACATTAGAAACATAGCTATGATAATCACATCCAGTTTAATCCACAAACTTTAGCACGATGCTGGAATAAACATACAAAGAGACAGACAAACAAAATTACAAAAATGATTGTTTTGGTATATTATTTTTTACCCCTCATTTTATTTTTATATAAATCCCATGCATACTTTTATATAAAATTTTACTACAATGACTGAAATCTGTATGTTGAGATTACTGCTGTTTTATAAAAATAAACAATGGTATACTCAATATCAAACGAAATGGATAAAGTCTGGATTAATCACATATATAATAAACATTTTATTTATTTATTTCCTCTTTTAAGTTGTACAAATCACTTAAATAATAATAAAAAAAAATATATAATACATTTATGAAGTACAAAAGGTGGTCTTATTTCAATATATGTAGTAGGTGGTCAATAACAATCTCTTCCAAATAACCTTTAGGTAAAGAAGAAAAAATAATATATTTTAGAGTTTCTATTACTTTCCCATTATTTGCTCTAAAAAGTAGCTGGTTGGGTGCGGCATCAAAAAAGGCGATATTTCCAATAATCGAGCCGGAAGAGGGGCGTTTGCGGGTGAAATGTAACATTATGGACAAACAGGGTAAAGTGGGGCTAACTGGGTATGATGCCGCGTCGCCGTGCGCTGGTCGATGCGCGTGCGCCCACCGATTAGCACCTCCGACCGGCGGCGACTGAGGAGCGCATAAGCATAGAGCAAGGAGAGGTACAGAGATACACCTATATATATACCCTGTTTTAAATTATTTGTTATTTAAGAAAGTTATATTGTTTATTTCTCTTGTGATAATTATACTGACAAAAAGTTGTCTGTCCGCTTGATGAAAAGTGTTAATCGTTGCATAGAAACAACAAAGAATACACTGTGATGCTTTTCTGCTGTGATGGTACTCCTAGTGTGTTGCCATTCCTGAGAACTGTTGTGTTATGTCTCCATATCCTGTAATTTTACTATCATATACACTTAAAATGGAAATACAGTCATGCAAGCACAGCCTTATCACGGTAGAAATGCGGGTAGGATAGAGGTACCATACCCATGAAGACGACTTTTGTACAAGGTCTCCCTTCAAAGTCGGTCTTAGAATAAATTAAGATTTTGTTCCATAAAAAGACCAACTTTAACCGTGACAAACGCAGTTACCTTGATTTAAAAACTAAACTACTGAAACGATTTTGATAAAATTTCTATATATAAATGAAGTTATAAAAGGGTCATCACCCGATAAATTTCCTTTTTATTTAATTAAATTTTCGTATTTTCAATTGATCTTTAGGAGGTTTCCAACATTTTTTTTCTTTTAACCATGTATTTTTTTATATTATAGCGAGTAAAACTAAAAAAAAAAAAATTTCAATCAGTTTTGAGTTTTAGGTAGACTGACGAAAAGCTATTGATTTTTATACATAAGATTGCATATTTAATTTTTATAAATCACTAACATGACATCTTCTAATATGTCTTAAACGAATTAAAATTCTACTATTTTTGTTTATAAAACAGTTGATATTTGATAAGTGTACGTTTTTCACTATACGTAGTACTATATGAGTATTGTATGCATATTCAACAGTCTGCAAAATTTTACTACTTACACATTAAAATATGATTCAAATTTCTGTTCAATGTTTTGAAATTATTAATCTAGTAAGCATGAATCATATACAATGTTATTTTACATGTTATTGCATGAACTTTTTGACGTAGTACGCATTAGACTTAGGTTTATACAAATATTGTCTATTTAGCATTTAAATTATTTAGGATGCATGAATATACATTTGTAAGGTGAAACCTAATTGTTCTTAAATAAAATTGTTTGGCACTCGAAATATGAGATGTTGTGCACTAAATTACCCATAATTCGGTGCAATCAATAAAATTCCTAACTATATTTAGGTAATAAAATAACTTTCCCTGTTTTTTTGAGGTTTGCTTCGAAAAAGCACTTTATATTAACTATATTAACAGATTAGTTATTTTTGATTATTAAACTGAATGGATATTACTGTCAATAATAGGTACATCGCATATTCTTTTACCTGACATACAGTACATACTGCCGAAAAAAATGTCAGTTACCCATGTACCTAATTATATTGTAAATGTTAAATTACATAGTACGCTTAGGCTGTGGAATGAGTTCCTTGCCGAGGTTTTCTCTACAGACAACAGTATGGGCGTCTTCAAAAGGGGTGTATTAAGGTTTCTTCAGGAATAACAACGCGCACGTGATATTCCTAGTGTTGCAGTCGTCTAATAATAGGCTAATAGTGACCGTTTACCATCAGACGGGCTGTATGCTTGTTTGCTATTTCTTTGATATAAAAAAAAATTACGTAAATAAAATAGTAAAATTTTTACACATCAACTTTTTTCCATGCCTTCTATCCATTTAGAAATAAAGTAAATGTATATAAATATATATGTAATGTATGTATGTAATGTAAATATGTATATAATATGTATGTAAATAGAAAGAAAAAAGGAAAATATAACTATAAAAATAATAATAAAAAGGCCTTTTTCCTCAAATTTTGAGTTATCTTCATAAAAATATTGCGCATATGTGCATATGCCTTCAAGCAGCTATACTAGTAGGATTATGTTTGGTTTAAAGACTGGGATATAGCAGTAAAATTATTAGATACGGATACATAAGGCGGTAGACTTCAAGGAATGACATAAAATCGGCGTCATAGGAGCCATGATGTTCATGGTGCCGTTCATGCCTATAGGCGACGATTATCGCTTTCTATCATGTGGGCTGAGAGCTTGTTTGCAATTTCAAGTCATATAAAAAATAGAAATCTGTTCAGCCGTCCATTTAGCCGTGAAAATCAAACAGACAAATAGCGTAGACTTACTTTCACATACTGATATAGAATATACTGTCTCTTCTATCTGAAATGCTGTCTGTAAACTAAATTCTCTTTCAAAATATAATATTAATAAGGATTGTAACCTCTGCACTCAAAGTCCTCTATGTATACAATAATTCCTTAAGGAATAAGTGAGACCGATGTACACGGGTAGGGGCACTACCGCCAACGACCGCCATGAACTTAGGGTTGTTACGTTTAAGGAATGTAAGTCTGATATATATTTTTATATATAAACTACTATCAAATTAATAAAAAATACATAGTTATTATCAAATAACAAATCATCGTTATTATATCCAGCGTTATCTGTTCACTGCTGGACATAGGCTTCTTCTATATGGGGGGTTTTTCCAGTAGTTTTGACGTTTGGTAGGCGAGTTAGCAACCGCAGTTAGGCTTCGGTGATGTTTTAAGAGGGACACCGCTGCTTATTAAATTTGTTTAGTCGTCTCTTACGATACTTACGGGGAAGGAAGGGGTGGCCCATTCTATGCCGAGACCACAGAGTTATATCAAATTGAAATTTTAATTCTAGAGATAGGTTTAGAGTATCCGGCAGTTGAGAATCGTCCCCAATCTCTTTTCCCCTAAAAAAAATAGCAAGTTATTTCCCCTCCCTAGTCCATACGGTAAGAAAATGCAAAAAAAAAAAAACATTTTATTCATAAATTTCCTTAAACTGGCAACCTTGAGCTTACCGTATTCAATCATATTTGTACACACTAACCTGTGCAGTGACGTACCTGTAAGTGCTAAATAGTAGTTCATAGTGCGTGCCGGTGCATACCTCGCTGCAGGTGTGTTTGAGCCGACACTAAATCAAACATTTGGAAGGAATATTAATTTAGATTAAAGCACCAAACATACTTACATAGATGGTCATTGTTTGATAAAATTTGTATCAAGGGTTAAGGGATAAGATGTTACGTTATACAGTTAAGTATAATCCGAATGAGCTAAGCAGTAAAATTCCTAGACATTGCGATCCAAAATGTTTAGGTCAAGGATCGGTAATCGATAAAATATACAATATAATTATAAATAATACGAGGGATAAATCTAGATATAGATTCTGATGCTGAATTGAACAGACAAAATTCACAAGTAGATGGAACCAATACGAGAGTAAACCTTACTGATGGCACAAAGTTTTATTAAAATTGAAGTATTATTAGCATTTATGAAGATATCGCGTAATACATAGAAAAAAAATACAGTTCTGGATTGAAATAAAAACCTAATTTTTTTTTTATGTAAACTTAATTAATTCAACTACCAGATAAAGAAATGACATTTGTGCATATGCAAAGTTGTGCGTTACAGACCGCGGTCTTTCTTTCTTTTTTACTCGTAATGGTCATATTTGAGGCAAAGAGAAAGGTAAGCTCTTCTTTAAAGTTAAGGCTAGACAGTGATCAACTATATAAAGTATTATTATCAAACATAATACTGTGATACTGTAAAAAATATTCCAGGAAAATACATGTAAAATGTTTAAAAGCATCTCCGTAAACCCATTCTATTTCTAATATGAATGAACCAACAACTCCTAAACGTTAATCGACGCATGATGCTCTTCAACTAGTTGGGACATGTGATAACAGATAGATCAAACATCTGCAGCCGGTTCGCTACTACCTGGTAAAGCATAAGAGGCGAGCCTTC